TAAATATATAATTCATATTTTTGACAAGACAGCTTTTATAGCTTCAATTCTCAATCTTTGAATAAAGCTTGAATTAATGCCAATTAATATAAATACTTTAGAAAACTAGAATTATTTTAATTAAAATTTTCTAGAATATTCAGAATCTGAATTAAATAATTCACCTGCTAATAATGCTTCAATCTTAGGAAAAGTGTCAAACTTATTAATATATGTAAAACAAATTGCTCAAAAGCAATGTTGGCTTAATATTAACAGTCTAACAAATAAATTTACCCAGTATTTGAATGAGGCTACTTCAATAAAAGTTAACTCTCTGGAATAGTAGAAACTTAATAGTTTTTTGCTTTTTGGGAATGTCACAAATAGCCAAGAATTTTCTTACAATCCAGGCAATATCAGTACCTTCTAAACAAATATTTTCAAAGGAAGATGATACTATCTGGGCTAAATATATATAGGCATTAATATGTACTAGCTTATAGTTAGAACATGGTATTAGATTTCAAAGAGATTAATTTTTTTTTAAATATTTTATTTTATTTTTTTTTTAATTAGGTTATTTTATTTTTTTATAATAGTTTTTTTTTAAAAAAATATTTTTTTAAAGTCTTTTTTTTTAAAAAAATGTTTATTTTTTAGAAGTTTTTTTTTCTTTTGAAAAATGTTTTTTTAAAAAAAAATTTAATTATACATTCCTGTACTTTGTTTTATATACTTATAAAATATAAATTACAATAATATTTTTATATATATATATATTTTGGCAAATAATTTTTTTATAATAATAATATTAGTCAAATTGAAGCCATAGCTTTTACTAGCTCAGCTAAAAAACAGCTTGGCTAAAAAGCAGCTCAGCTCTATTATGAATGAACCAAAACTAAGCTAAAGCTAATAATTTGCAACACTATACAAAATAAAAACTTAACTTTGTATAGCCTAATACATGCTATATTGCTATTTTTGAAAGCATCAACTACTTTTGTTGTGTACAGAGAACATTAATTCTATTTTTAGATTTGTGAAAGAATTTCTTTTTATTTTTGCAAAAAAAGTTTTCTATATCAATGAAAATAGCATCAAAAATAAAATTTTTTTACATTATATTTTTTATTGAATTGTAACGGATAAATAATTTAAACCTCATATGTTACTGATTTGGTAGTTATACTTGGTTCATGTGATTCAAGCACACTTATGAGTTTAATTTATGAGTCACGAGTTGAGAAATCACTTAATGCTTATTTAAAGATCTTACAGATTTATTTTGCACAGTATGATAGTAGATTTTAATTCATTATTTGTAGCCAACCTGACATTGCCTATAAAAAAATATAACTGATATTACAGATTATTATGTGATTGTGACGTTAAACTTTTTTTAATTATAAATTAATTATAATATTTCATTTTTACCTACAACACACCAATTAGACAATTAATAATTGTAATTATTCTGTATCTTTTCAAAATAGTAAACATTATATTGGCAAATGTTTTGATAGAAATTTTGTAATTAGTGATGTTGTAATCAAATAATATCTATAATGTAGCTAAAACTATCAAAACTATTTACTTTAAAACATGATCTATCAATCAGATACAATTGTACAATTCAATTTTATTACTGTTGAACCTCCCAAACCCGATCTTCTCAAAACTAATAACCTGCCAAATTTGATAGAAAATTAGTCTACCAAGTCCGTTTCTGTTATATAAATCTAATAGTTTATAATGTTTTCAAATCTGATAACCTTTCAATACTGATACAAATTCTGTCTACTATATATATCAGTTTAAAGAGGTTTAACTGTAATTTTATCAGTAATTACACAATAACAAATAAATAACTAGACTAAATCTTGTGAAATATTATTATATAATTTAAAATAATTACCAAATCAAAATACTTTGCCTATATAATAGGTATTATTTTGAGTTTTGGTATAAACTAAGCTTAATTTAGGTCTATTTCATAAAATTACCCTGGGTATTATTGAGAATTTATAGTAAATACTTTAATTGTTAAGCTTTAAATCAAAATTAGTAATAGCAAACATTTTTCAAATAATTTTTATGTATTGTAAAGTTTCCAAACCACCAGATTAACTTGATCTCTAATGGGGCTAAATAAGTTCTTTAACTAGTTCAAAGTTAAACTTTTTGTGGATTGGACTAGTAGAATAGCTCAACATTCCTAATGTTAATCTATTTAGAGAAGGACTGTGGCATATACTGCAATTTAGAAATATAAAATAAAAACAAACACTACAGGTATTTCAGAAAATGATAATACAAAAATAGAAATTAGATCTTCAGGAACCAGAATCTTATTCCATAAATAGAATGCAATCAAGATCCGCAACGCTTTCTTTTAATCAAATTAAAGACAATACAATGTTAATAAGTTGGAATTACCAATTAAAATAATCTTTTAAGATAATCACAAATGTATACAAAAATTGTTTGATCTAAAATAAAGAATGCTTTATGTTATAATAACTAATATATTTACCCTGGCATAATATAAAATCAATTTATAAATATACAATAAATTTGTATAAATCACACAAACCTACAGTGTATTATTCTACCAAAAAAAAAAGTTTTTCAAATCTTTTTTTTTTAATCTGGCAATTCTGTCTTTATTGTATTAGGAGTGTGTAATCTAAATACATGGTTTCCAAACACAAAGCCTGCAATAAACTCTATGCCTTCTACTCTTCTACTCTTCAATAAAGACTCACTCGGCTGCTTGTAATGGTGTCTAAGTGCGATCTGCCGCAGCAATAATTCATTCATCTCTAGCATCTAACTTGCTAGATGACTCCCCAAAAAAATCACTAAAAGCTTATTGCTAGCTTTGTCAAGATTGCCTTTTTCTTAATATTTTCTTTCTTCAAAGGGGTATAGAACAAATAGAGTAAGAAAACAAAAAACACAGATAAAATAAAAATGACAAAAACAAAAAGAAAAAGAAAAAACAAAGAAAAATATATAAAAAGAAAACAAATATAAAAGAAAATATAAAAGAAAAAATTACAAAGAAAAGAAAACAAAAAGGACAGCAGAAAATTCTGTCTTTTTTGGCACTACTATTATCGTGCCAGGCTGAAAAAATTATATAACAAATATGATATTTGTATATCTCTATTGTAAAGCTTCACCTTATCAAGTAAATTTTCCGACTAGATCATCCAGACTCCTAAATGATGTAAGTGGCCAACCTCGGTATTATGTGAAGCAGCAGCATGGCGGACATTTGATTTGATTAGTTAAAAAATGTAAACAAATAAACAATATGCATAATGTAGATCATTGTATAAATCTATACTACTATTACAGTATTACTGAGTTGGTGACTTTACTAGTGTAATTGCTAAAGATTTTGTAAAGTCTTGAGGCTTTTGTCATCTTAGTGCCACTGCATAGTAGTTAAAACTAGACATAACACGATAACATAGCATAGTAGTTAGGACTAGAGCATAGTACTGTAGTTAGAACTAGACATAGTATGTAGTTAGAATTAGACATACTGTAGCATAATATTTAAAACTAAACGTAGCATAGGTAATTAGAACTGGACATAGTAGTTAGATTCTAAATAGATATAACAAGATATTAGAGCTCAGTAGTTAGATTCAGGACATTAGAACCAGATATTAGGATATTAGAATTGGATGTAGTATGACACAATAGTTAAAATTATAATATTATAACTAGATGTAGTATGATAATTAAATTCAGGAAGGTAGTTAGATTTAGAACGTTAGAATTAGAAGTAGTATAGTAGTTAGATTTGGGATATTAAAATATAGTAGTTAGATTTGGATATTAGAATTGTATGTAGCATAATAGTTAGATTTTGGATACAGTACGGTAGTAAATTCTAGTTAGCGATTATTTGTATATTTTTCTTTTTGAATAAAAATTGGATTTTCTATATTTTGTTTTTTTAAAAAAAATTTTTTTGATTAAGTACAAATAAAAAAAAACAAATATGTTCGAAATCGTTGTGTGTAAAAATTCACATCACAAATTTGAAATAATTACTATATATCTAAAATTAACTATCTAATTCTAATTCTAGCTCTAATATACTAAACTAACCCTAACTCTAATGTACTAAACTAACCCTAACTCTAACATACTAAACTAACCCTAACTCTAATAAACTAAACTAATCCTAACTCTAACGAACTAAACTAACTCTAACCTAATACGATCAACTCTATCTAGCCCAACACTAATCCTAAAATTATAACTACATATAATTATAGTATGGCAATAATAAATGGCTTTCTTTACTCTAAATACCAATATACAAATGAGTAATAAATTTGTTTGATTATAAATAGGATCTTTTCTAGGAAAATCACTTTTCAGGATTTTCTGATCAGGCTAATTCAGAAAAGCTTAGACTATAATGCCGGTTCTTATTCATATGAAAACTCTTTTTTACTTTACTGATTCGGCAGTCTATTTAATAAACTATTGAATAAATAAAGTAAAAGGTAATTTACATTTGAATAAGAACAGTCTAAGCTTTTCCGAATTAGCTCGATCGGAAAACCTTGAAGGGTGATTTTCCTAGCAAAGATCCCGTATATTACTTACCATCAGGGATATAAATATACTAAAACTACAATTTAAAATCCAATTGGGCGGCCCAGTCAACCTGCCCAAATCTTTTAAGATCATCTCGGCCCAAGATATTTTCATCGGTTCGTATCACTAATATTGTACGTTGAAATAGGTAAGAAAATAAATATTGTTATCTGCATTTATTATATTGGCTGATTCAGATATTTTTACAATTAATAACATTCCAATTTTTAAAAATAAAAATAAATGCTATTACCTGGTTTAGAGGGTTTTGAAAGATTCAAAGATCGACTTGTATAAATACTTCAGCAGTTGGTCGCTTTTGAGGTTCTGCGTCTAAACATTTATTCATCTGATCCAAAAGTGGGCGAAGAGAAATTCATATCTGAATATCATAGTTCATCAACATTTTGAATATACTCGTTAATTGCTCTTTCTTGCTTGTTTTTTTCTTCCATCATTTTTTTAATTGCTAAACGAGTAGTTTGCTGGTTTTTATCGTTGTCCTTTATTATGGACATTATTTTGGCTATTTTGCCTGGATCGTTCTCTTCTTTAGCTTGCTGTAATTCTTGAACCAACTCGAGATTTTGTTTTTCTTGTTTTTCTAATTGTTCTTGTAGAGCTTTATTTGTTGCTTCGCATTCTGCTCTGGTTTGGGCTAATAATTCTCGCTTAAGGGCTTCTCTTTCTTCCGTAGTTTCGGAACTTTGCATCTAATTTTAGGTCTGAGACCTTTACAAATCTTAATTGCAAGACCGAAATTACGTAGAATATTATAGTATAGAGGATATCCAGTAAAAACTTCTGACATAATTATTCCAAAAAAATAGATATCTGATTTTTGTATATAGTAGTACTTCTGGAGCAATATAGGGAAGTACACCAAAAAGTTCTTTAGAATTTGAATTTTGTGATACTGGCCTACATAAACCAAAATCAGTAAGAACTAAACATATTTTGATTAACTATATTGCTGGAATGAAAATCTTTGTACACTAAATCGGCTTTATGAATTGTACCAAGCCCTCTAGCTATGTAATATATCTTTAGAAGCCCAATTTAATTCACTATATTTACTTACTATCTAACAATTTTCCGAGACTTCCCTACTTTGCATACTCCATAACTATCCTGTAGTTACCATTTTTTGGATTCTTGGTTATTCCATAAATCGCAATTGTAGAATCGTCCCAGATTTTTAATCTACAGCTGTTCTTAGGAATGTTTTGTGGTCCCGGTCTAATGTAATTAAAGTTGAGTTAGTTTAAATCCCGAATGCTAGCAAAGATAAAAGACTTGTCTATTGTTGGCTAAAAAATTCGAATACTCCACTGAATCTTGTGATACTGGCCTAATCAGTAATAACCATATTTTGATTAACTACATTGCCAGAATAAAAATCTTTGTGCACTAAATCAGCTTTATAAATTGTATTAAACCCTCTAGCTATGTAAATAACTTTAGAAGCCCAATTTAATTCACTATATTTACTTACTATCTAACAATTTTCCAAGACATTCCTACTTTGTGTACTCCATAACCATCCTGTAGTTACCATCTTTTGGATTCTTGGTTATTCCATAAATCACAATTGCAGAATCGTCCCAGATTTTTAATCTACAGCTGTTCTTAGAGATGTTTTGTGGTTCGGTCTAATGTAATTAAAGTTAAGCTTTCCCCTTGTCAGAAAAAAAAATCTGGGTTAGTTAGTTCTCACAAATTAGCTAATTGGCGGCATTGCTTTTTCTGAAAATTGGCGAATTTAACTATATTACTTACCTAAATTTGCTCTCTAAGTAAAGTCTTTAGTGATAATGATCTATACTGATCTTTTTTCACTAAAAACATACGAAGAGGTAAAAAAGACTTAAAGATATTTAAAAAAAAAATTATTTTGTGAAACCACAAATTGTCAATTGACAATGTGGCTTTTCATAGTAAGAGTTACTTTAAAAATTTTTATTTATGTTGTGTAACTCAGGAATTTTCGAGCCAATCAAATTGAATGTCCGCCATGCTTGAAGCAGCACAGTCTATAAACAAAACAAACCAGACACGTGATCACAGTTTGCCGGAACTGTCCAGATTTGGGAGATGTAAACAATGCCGATCTTTTAGAAGGGGTAAACTGTTTTGCTTACTTTTGTGGAAAATTTTGGAAGAGTGGTGAGGAGGTGAAGAAAAGAGATGAAACTACTTTGTTTTGTTTAGTAAAAGAGTATGTATTTTCTTTACTCAATACACTGAATTCATAGAAAGGTGCAGATTCTCTCTTTATTTTTTCAGGTAAGTAATAAACTCTGGGCTTGTTGGCAAATAGTGTATGAGAACTATTTCTAAATGACAAGTGTCCAGCCTCCGTGGTGAGTGATAAACTCTGAGGAAGTTAGCAGATAGCATATGAGAACTATCTCTAAATAACAACTGCCAAGTTATGAAGCTTAAGGACTTCTTTCCTGCTTGTTTCAACCTTTATGGATGCTAGTATTTTTAAGAATTTTGGATTTTTTTGTGGTAAAAATAATCGTCAAGAAGAGTTGTATGTACGCATATATGGAAAATATTAAAATCTATAAAATTGTATTAATTAAATATACCTTTATACTCTAAGTAAACTTGTTCTATACATAAAAATACATTATATTAGTATATATTTACCTTATTTCTTAAATTGTTTTGCAGCCAAATTTGTTTGCAAACTTTTTAAATTTTAAATTTTTTTTTTAATTCAGCAGTCTTGCCTTTACTGTTTTATTAGTACTCTAAGGTATTATAGTTACAAATATATATATATATATTTACAACTATCTAATTATTTACAGATAAGGCTTATCCGGTTACTAACTTAGTATCTATATATGACTTGCTATATGAGATTTTACCTCCTTAGTAACTGCCCCTTTTGACCAAACCAATTACTAAATCACCGAATAGTTCCCAAACCTATATTTATCATATATATCCCGCTTATATACTACTGTACAACGTTTACAAGCCAACTTTGACCTCTTAGTACTTATTACATTACTTCTAATTCGTTTCTTGTACCACTTTCAAATTGGTGTCTTTCAAGTAGGTGCTCTTGGTGCTTTCAGTTTGGTGTTCCTGGGAAGCTACTTTAAGGACCTAATCTGTATCTCAAGCCAGGTGCTGCCAGGTCATAAGACTCGTATCTCAAGTCACCTGCTGCCATACTAGGGTGTTATTTCACATTGATCCAGATATTCACATCATACACCATCAAATTAGGCTACTGATCCTTCTATAGTACTCCCTATTGGTATGGTGATACAGGGGTCTGGATCCTTAGGATGGGAGTTAAGTACCTCATTTAATTACT